ATATATATATATATATACATATATATATATATATATATTTATTTATTTATTTATCAGGTATTGAACTATATAGCCGTGATGGCTCGACCTCTGGTGCTCAACCTCACCATCCATCCGACCATATGGACGCCCGTTTATGCCGATATCGCCGATCCGAAAATCACCGATTGGCTGTGGGATAAAAAGGAGCGTTACGATCAGAAGGAGCGCTATTGGATTTATCGGAGAAATAAAAGACTGATGTTTTTGGAGAAGGAACTGGCACAATACGACAAGAGAAGCAGAAAGCATACGAATATGGCTACTGACATGTATAAGTACAGGCTTATGACATCTGTCAGTATGCCAGTGTTTGATCGACGCGAGAATGCCGTGAGTGTATTTTTAAATGATTATTAGCCTTCGTTGTTCATCAGATTACTGAAATGGAAATACACTGTTTTCGGAAAATTCAATGATTTTGTAAAGGCACGTTCAAATAGAGACATTCGAAATCTCGAAACGCTCTTATATATCTGTAAAAACAACGATTGTATTTGTTTTATTATTTTAGCAAGCACTCAGAAAGGCACATAGCGTAACTGGAATTACTTTTGTATTTTAAATGAATTGAGAAATTTTTCAAAATTACAACTCTTTACATCCAGCCACAAATATTTTTCTTCAAACATTCACAGCTACGGAGCAACGCTAAACTCGTGTATTCTGAAAATATTTATATGAACATTTGGTTCGATCGATGGGATCGATAGCAAATAACTCCGATTTATTCACTTATGAAATATTATACTTTACATTGCTCGTATACGGATATTTCCAGATTACAATTGTCCTTGTTAATCAACAAGTAAAATCTTATTTATATGCAAATTAATTATCAAGAATGAGCGAGAGAGCCGTTGGATTATCTCAAGTCCCTATTTGTCCGCAGAACATCACAGAACAAGTGCTGGTGAAAAACGCCTACTGGGTTACACAAACAAGAGAGGTTGGCAACTAAAAAAGGAAAAGCAAACGCAACAAGTTCATATAGATTCATATAGTACCCCTGTAAAATATTTGCCCATTTTTAATGCTCGTAAATAAGCTATTTCTCTTCGCATCTCTGTTAAAATTATCATTTAATTGTACGCTTGCTAAGTCGATAATTAAAATTGTTTGTTGTAAATTTCATATTTAAGATATAGCGCTTTTGAAATTTCAAATCTCAATATTCAACTGCACATAAGACTATGTTGACATTACATAAATGTCTTAGCTTTTTGTTAAAAAAATTTTAATTAATTTATCTGGTAATTGGCAATTTCGCAAAATTGATTTTGTTGTGGGAGTGTGTATGTAACGAAATGCGAAGAGAGAGAGAGAGAGAGAGAGAGAGAGAGAGAGAGAGAGAGAGAGAGAGCGAGAAAAGAGAGTAGTAATATTTTAGGATTACGCATAAATCTACTTCTATTCCAATGTTTCGTATATATTAGTCTACTACTAAAATTTTTAGGTAGGATATTTCTTAGGATGAACTTGATCATTAGTTTCAACCCTATATCCTAACATTTTTACAAGTAGAAATAACGAAAAGGATCCATCCTTTCCAATGAATTGTCAGCGAGACAATTACTAATTCCCGTAACGAGTTACTTTATCATAACAGTTGATTGTAGACAATTTTGCAGTGATTATAAAGCTAATATCTACTTTTGTTACAGTTTATTATTTTTAATTTTACTATTTGTGATATCAACTTTAAAAATAATCAATTTATCGTATTTTAGATAATACACGTTTACGCGCAGGTAAATGTGTGTATTATTTATATTTATGTATATTAATATATGTATGTATGCATATATATATATATATATATATATATATATATATATATATATTTATATAGTTTAGATTGTTAAATATTTTAGATGAATGTAGTTAACGATATACATCAATAGTATCGATTCGCGAATTATTATAAGGAGAAGAAAGATTTTCTGCGTAAATTGTGTTTCTTTAAAACCAGAAAAAAAAAATATAATAACAATTATAATCATTCGTGAATTGAATAAAAAATTCGTTATACATACACACAGTCACGCACACACACACAAACACAGACATACACACACGCACACACACATGTACACGTACGCACACACACATACACACACAAAATATGATTTAGATGAAGATTTCATAGGCTAGTTATCGTATTCAGTGAGAAGTTTTAATCTTTATAATTTGTTGATATCCTTATTGAAAAAGTAGTGAGTTTAAAAATAGTTTATCGTTAATATATTATAAATAAATAGACGCTCCAGTCGATGTCATCATTTAACAATTGTATTTACATTATTATAATTATAATAGTTATGTATACATTGGCTATTCTAGAAGTCTGCCATTTTTTTTTTGTTTTTTTTTTCTCTTAGAATAATTAATTATTGGTAATTTAGAATTTAATTATTTAAATTAATTTTCTTAATAAAAGCATAAAGTAGTTACATGCTTCTGGTTATGCAAATAATAAGCGACGATTATTCACTCTTTTATGCGATTTTCGTCGCTGGTTTCAAACTACAATTAACAAAAGCATTTTTATACAACTACGAAATTTTAAAATTTGCAGACGAGAATCGCCAATCTACTTGGTGTTGCCGGTACCGATATTCCAGTCGACGACATTAAGCAGCTTATGCTACCACACGAGGTAATAAGCAACATTAATACCTCTTCTAACAATACATGTGAATAATTGCAATAATTTTCCTTATTTTCCTGAAAATAATCCTAACACTTTCAGCTGGGCGTTCACGGCTATGCATTTATCGTGACCAACAATGGCTACATCCTCACTCATCCGGATCTTAGACCAGTGGTAATTTAATTATTTGTTTTAAAAGTTTTTTATACCTACGGCACTTTTCATACTACGTTGTTAACGTTATTACTTGAATTTTTTCAGTTTCAAGGGATTTTGAAGCCAGCTTATAACAGTGTGGACATGGCTGAGGTCGAACTAATCGATGGTGACGATATTACGAGGGAATTTAATGAATTACTTCTAAAGGTTACTTTATGAATGTGGACATTTTCAAACGTCGAGCAAATAAAATTCTTGTAATAATATCATTATAATCGCGGATTATAAATTAACTGCTCTAAGCTACTATTTTTATCATTAAAATTCATGGAGTTAAAAAGTAATGTTAAACTACCGCTTTATAAAAGTATTCTTAATAATTAAGGACGTTGATCTATTTTATTGCACAACTTTTCGTAATTATATTTAATCTTGCATGCATTTTATTTTCTGCCCCTCCCCAGTTTCGAGAGGATGTGATCGATCAAAAGAATCACAGCGACGTCCACATGTTCACCAAATATCATTACGATAATATGGTTAGCTGACGACATACTTATATTACTTGTTAAAATAAAAGGAAATATCGCTTATTCAATGAAATAGCTTTAATTTTGTATTGGTATTTTCATTAAAAGATTAGTTTGAAAATATTTGGTTAAATTAAGCTAAAATTCTATGTACATAGGTCGAAATAAGCATTGAATTTATTAAAAATAAGAATTTATGCTCTATGTTTACAGAAACGGGTCGGCAGGTTAAAAAGGAAATACGATTCCGCGCGAATTGGAAATACGCCTTTCACTGTGGTAGTCAGTTTGCCCTTGTATAATAGTATAGATGCAACGTATCGTGTGCATGCACCTAAAGACGTACGTCGCTTGAAATTTGACGGTAATTAACTTCTATTGAGCTATTAAAATTCAACTGATTTTCCGTGCAGCAATGATTCCGTGAGCAAAGGCAAATAAAGAAGCTGACAAAATTATGCTTGCAATTGGTTTTAATCGGAATTGAGAATTCGTTATTACTGTTACGCGATTTAATTACTATTACAAGATTTCAAGATTTATAGTAATATTAAATCAAATTTAGAAGAAAGTCCGTCGTGACTAATTTAAGGCATTCCAAAGTGATTGAAGTCGTATTGGTCGGAACAAATTAAAAGAAACTCTAAAGTTTTTTCTTACTTGCATTAAATAGATTTGTTTTTTGTTTTTTTGTTTTTTAAATTCAATCACGGGACGATAAAGCGAATATCAAAAATTCAAATGCTTAATTTTAAGATAATTGTAAAAGCAAAGCAACAACGTATTATCAAAAGTATTTAGTAAATAATATTGAAGCAAAGAATTTCATAAATTTACCAGCTTCGTTGACTTATGTCAAACTTATCATTTTCAATATTCTACAGAATTGTAATTGTTAATTAAACATTGTCAAGTAAATTGTTGTAAAAATTGTCTATTATTTGAAAATTGAAAAAAACATGAAAATTCAAAGATAACTATAGTTAGTCTTGTCGCATAATAACTGGAAGATTAAAGCGGTAGATGAATTGTTGAAAATGCTAAAATAAATCAAAATGCTGAACGTAAATCATCGCTCGTGAGAAAATCATGAATATGTCACTTTCTACGTATGAATTAATAAATTTGCAGCAGATATAACCGCAGAGAAATACTTTGAGGGTAAAAACTGGCGAGTGCATCCGGATTGGCTATATTGCAAGTGAGTATTATAATACGAATTTCACCAACTTGAGCTCAATAATATTTAATAGTAAAGTCAATTAAAAGCTTACGAATAGTATTGTATTAAACAGTAGGCTCACTTAATATTTGCAAAATAATATAGACGACTTGGATTAGGAAGAGAAAAAAACATTTTTTCCAGATCACACCACAGGGCTACACATAAACAAACTGTACGGAAGAAACAGGTCAAACACTTTATAAACAAACACCACAAGACGCCACAGAGAAACCCGTAAAGAAAAAATCTCACACCCTTTTTTCACTAATGCAATAATCTTTTGTTTATTTATTTACTTCTATTGATTTATTTATTTATTCATTCATTTACGTATAGATAGATATTTTTATTTTTATATTCGTAACGTTTATGACGATAGCGAAATAATATCGTAATATCGCGCTTACATTGATTAATAATCATTTTCGCTGCTCGACGGGAAATAATTTGCGAATACGATTGTTAATCAAGAGTGTCATGTGCATCGAAGGCGAGTAGTAACAAAGCAGCGAAATCATTTTCCAGATATCACTTTGAGAATGCCTACAATTTTGCCACGCCAGAGGAAGAATTGAAGCACTTTTTGAAAAAGGCCACGCAACCCTTCTGGAATTGGGGCACAAAGCCCTCTGAGCAATCGACTCGTAAGATCACTTTTGCCTAAAGTACACTATGATCATCGTCACGGCTTATCGGGCATGGATGAAGGGCTTTTGTCATTTTTGTTCCAGAGAACGGTAAGAAAACGGATGAAAATATGGATTCCCGTTATTGCGAGAGGGATCTTATATTGAATCTGGTGTTTGACGCGATGGTGACTGAGCGATTCGGCGATCCGCTCACCAGTCGCGATGACAAAGGGTATGAAATTTAATTTATCCCTCCTTTACGTGAGAATTATTTACACGTCAATTTTTTTTTTTTTTTTTTTTTTTTTTTTTTTTTATATGATAATCAGGCCAGAGTGTCAGCGAGGATTGACAATGTTCTACGTTAGCGATTTTCCGTCTACTGCACTGATTGCTCGTGCAACTTGAAAAATAAAATTAACGATTTTCATTAATTTAACGATTTGATTGTTTGCTGGGATAATTAATTATTCGAGTAAATAAAACTTTTTAGTGCGTGCTCATTTAAGCTTTCGACGCAATTTTGAATTACTTTGCTATCTCGATACGATGAGACATTGAGAATAATAATATATCGCTTCCATAGCTACTAGCTACTAGCGCCATTGATAATATTCTTCAAGATGCAACGAGTGCAAAGTCTGTCTCTGTCATTGTCTGTTTTATATTAATATCACGAGTGTGTTTCAATTAATATCATATTACACGCACCAAAGAGAGATTGCACGCACGCACCATTTCGTTTACAATTTTTATGCACTTGTATAATCACGCGTCGACACTCTATACTTTTCTCTCATTCTTTTTACATTGAACTTTCTTTCCTTATTATCATTATTGTTTATATTTATTTTTTCGTCGGCTAGCCGACGACACGCACCTGTTCCTTTTTACTAATAAACTTACAACTTTAACGCCATGCAGACCTTTAGATATGCTGATGACGCTTCTGTCCAGGTAACGTCTCATCACATCGCACCTTACATTTTTATATAGTTTTAAACTTAAGTAAATTAAATGACTTGATCAGTCGCGTATCTCTCGTCTTGCCATTATTGACTGCCACTGGTTATATATTTATAATTTGCCTTTACTTCGTTCTCTCGTTACTGCCTTGACTGAATTCTTTATTTCTTTAGTAAATTATGCCACCTATTTATGATTTTTTTTTTATTATTATTATTATTATTATTATTATTTTTTTTTTTTGTTTTTTGTTTTTTTTGTCAACTTTCTCTCCTATTGTATATTATTTATACGGCACGATTAGCACAGCACTTTTTTGCGAGTTTTCAGATTTTTGATACCGGAGCGAAGAATGTTATGAAAATCTATGGAGCTGAACTTCTCTCTGTGTTCTTAAAAGTCAATTTCCTTTTTCTTTTCGATCAATAATTTCGTTTACTCTTTAATTATCATGTATATATTATAAATACCTATATACGATCAGCATCTGATCTTGTACATACTTTTATGATTGGAATGTCAGTTGCTACTCAAAATTACTTATTATTTGTATAAACTAGAATTGGTAATTGAAATGGTATATGTTATTTTTCATTATTATTGTTGTGTTCGTTTTTGGTTTTTTTTTTTTTTATTTTTTTTTTATCTTTTGTTTTGTTTATTTCTATTTTGGTTTTTATTTTTATTTTTCATTTGTTTGTTCGTTCGTTCGTTTGTTTGGTTGTTTGGTTGTTTGGTTGTTTGGTTGTTCGTTTGTTCGTTCGTTTGTGTTCGGTTACTTTTGTTTTTGAACGAAATTTTTCTGAATTTTTTATGTAAGAGCAGTACAATGATGTGCTAAGTTATGTGGATTGAACAAAGGTGTTCTATGACAGCAGAATAGAAAGATCTGAGAAACAGTCCAATATCCACTGTACTATTTGCTTTAGTAATCATTTTATCAGTTTACGTTTCTAACGAATGACAATCTTGTATCTACACGTATGGAATTTTTGTAAGAACGTTGCATAATACAGGCTTTAATAATTCGTAAATATTTTTGAAATTAAATGAAATATAAATAATTTTCTATACGTCAATATTTTTATGCTTGCCTATAGCATAATGCATTGAATAATAATTATTTGCACATAATAATATGCCGTGTGAAATTAAATTTTCATGTCTACACTAAAGAATGTCTATCGATACTATTAAATTCAATAAACTTTGGGCGTACGTATCAAGTCGCTGTCATATATTTTCACTTTGATTCAATTAATTTATTCGCACCTGCGAAAATAATAATCAAAATCATATTAATCCCTGTTGGGACCATTATAAATGTTATATTAATTTTTCTTTTTTTTCTTTTTTATTTTTTTATTTATAGTCAATTGAGCACTATAAAAACAGTATATTTTTAAACATAAAATTGAATTACCCAACGAATATAGTATCGTAGTATAATTATCAAATATTATCAAATATATCTAGGCATTCGACATCATTAAGAAATCTCTTCACTAAATCCACTTAAATTCCAACAACTTTCAATGATTATTTACTTACATTTTTGGCAATAAGCAAAATGCAATACATCTTTATTAACGTAAAGGATAATTGGCTAATAAAATGCCTCGACAGTCGCATTGTATGGACAAAGTTGAAGATTAATAAAATGATTTTTATTCGTTGGATTCGTAATTGTATGAGCGTAGTGTATCCATAAAATGCGCTAGTTTCTCAGAACTTGCACAGTAAACAATATAATTTCGCGCGCCTATTTGTATACTTTTGTTTTTAAACATATATATATGTGTGTGTGTGTGTGTGTGTGTGTGTGTGTATATATATATATATATATATATATATATATACATTACATACAATTTACATACATACAATTTACATACATGCTTATTTATTGCGATATTTTAAGGCTTGGAAGTGTATTATCTGTCATAATTACTATTGTTATGTGTAAAAGTGTGACCGGTCGTATCGAGTACATACCTTGTTATATCGACATAAACATAGCGCTTGAAGTAAGAAATTATTATCCTAACGTGGTAAATTAATAATAAAAGCCAAAGGGCCCTAAGAACGCCTATGAAGCTCATGTCCGTCGCGTTGCGACACGCGTTTCCGCAGGGCGGACTTTCATCAGCGCTTTGGGTATACTCTCGCCTTCGTGGCGACCCGGAGTGGCCTCACGAGATGGCAGGACTTTCTCATCGACGAGACGGAAGTGCCGAGCGAACCGCCCCCCAACCACTTCAGCCGAATGCATCCGCGTGCGATCGACGAAGTCTGGTACAAGAGGGCGGTCGAACAGCACTACGTGCAGCCCGAGAGCTTCGTGTTCTCGATACCCATCGACGACGATGGAGCCACCAACTCCACCCTCGTCACCGCCAGTCGAGCTATATTCATCGGTTGGTGCATTTACACTGGCATTCGGCATTTGCTGCGGCAGCCCAAATAGACTCGCGACACTCGATGTTTGCGATCACTCGGTGCCTACGACTCTTTAATGAATCCTCACATTATACTTTATCGGGACACGTACCTTTTGCTCCTCCGATCTAACCAACAATATTATCAATGCCAACAATAGCCGTTTGATTGCACTTTACCGCAGCAAGTGCCCTGCTTGCGACTGCATAAACGAGAAGAATGACGAAACGAAAGTTATTTACTCTCAATCCCCCCCCTCCCTCCCTCCCCCCGCCCCTCGTCAAACCCAACCCTCAACGAAACTTTCCTAAAAATGGCCATATGACTATAAGAAAAAAGTTAAACGTCTTACGTTTAAGAGGCTGGTATTTTAAGTGGCAATAGTTGTAGCGCATTGCCTTTAATTATATAACGTAGCGGCAAATTACATCGGACTCTTGCAAGCGCTATTACGTTACTCACACGGGCCCAACAAGACTCGTGAAACATTCGTCCATTTTAAAACGGCCGCGTAATTCCAGTTGTTTTTGCTTTTATAGGTTCTAGTTCATCGGCATTATTCCCCATTGTTAGATAAACTGACTTTTCTAGGTTTGTAGGTCGATAGACATAACACACACGACTATTAACATTCAAAATTAATACAGCGCGATAAAAATGTACGATACCGCTTTGTTTCTTTATTCCTCCAACAATACTTTACCGTATTTTTCTTCACATTGTAACAGGTCGATCGATACGTTGGATTCATTCGGTACATTAAATTTGTCGGTTAAAACGAGTAATGGTCTGTTGGAGAGTTGGTGATCCCCCCCCCCCTCACCCCCCCCCCCCCCTCTATACTCTCCCCCTTACATTACTCATTATTCTAGATAGTAAGAGAGATCGAAATTTTTGTCTGCTATTCCTCTGCTAAGCTTATAAGACAAAATTATGCATCATTTTTATGCTCCTTTACACAATCATCTCTCTATTTTAACTGAATTTTATCCATATTTATATTTTCTATATATATTTATTTATAATTTGCAGAGGCCCAATTGTAAGATAATTAATTGCCCGTATATAATTTGTAGAAATTAATGTTCGGTATTTAAATAATATTAACTGCAATATTATCTCTAAAAACATTAGTCATTGATATAGGAGTTAAAGCCAATTGTTAATTCGTTCGCATCATCCATTAATTATAAATTTATTTGACCACCGTGATCAAAGATTATCATATAATCGTATAAGCTAAAGTAATTAGGATTTTAAAACTTACTCTCCACTACTAATAATCTAAAATTTCAGCACTCTTCCTTAAATAGCTAATTAATAATAGATTATAAGAATGAAAGAGCGCTGGAAAGATTTTATTTTCTAAACTATTTCATTATACGGATATCGTCGTATTTCTTATGAAAAAGCCCTATAATTTAATAATCCGCTCGTATAATTTAATAATCCGATTTCACTTGTACTGCAGTTATCAAACACGGGATTTTGAAGTTACAATGCTATACTATCTTTAATAAATACTAGATAAAACGTCGGTAATTCATATCGAAAGCAAAATATGATCCTCCATCTCGTACGATAAATTATTCGACACTTAACCGATTTGTATTCCTATTCTACTGATAAACAATATCTAATAACAAATTAACTAGCGGCAATATTACGATATTAAAATTTTCACACGCGCAAACATTGTCAATCGCCACTACTTTTACTTATAGCCGTGTGGGTGACCTCGTGTGTCGATACTCGAGCACAAGCAGACTCGATTAAAAATTGATAAAACCAATTTATGATATTGCTTATAAAAACGAATGTCGAACTTTGGTTAATTAATTGAATTGAATTAAAATGGAGCGATCGAACTCGCGCCATCACACTAATGACAATAATCTAAATCTATGGTCAATCGCTCGACGCACCTTATCATTCATTCATTCATTCATTCATTCATTATTGTTGTTGTTATTATTTTTGGTTATTGTTGTTGTTGCTGCTGCTGCTGCTGCTGCCGTTGTAGTTATTACTACGGCGACTGAATAATTTTATTCATTTATTTCTCTTTTTTCAAACGTAATGACACTCGAGTCATTATTCATCTATTTTTAAATATTGCATAACTACTTAAAATAATACGCACTTCTGAATTTCTATTCTATTCAATATTATATAATAATATTTATCATGGTAAAATTATTCTTATTCTCATATCCGACGGCAATGCGGTCTTTCTCAAAAATAAAATAACTCTACTTGCTTTAATAAATTTTAATGAGACGTCAGGCAGTTTAGAATACGTTCGCAATCCCAAACAACACACGAGCTCGTAATAGAAAGTACATAATAAATTGTACGACTTGACTAAAATCGCGCGTCTCGTAAATTATAAAGCAAGGTTGACCGAATTTTGACGCGCGCAGGGAACGAAACGATGGAGGCGCCTGCGGCTGTCGTCGGCTTTCAAATGACTCATACCGCCCTCCAGGGTATCTTCCAGAACATCACCTACTCGTGTAACGGCTACCGGTGTAGGAGACACTGCGGGGACGAGAATGTCGAATGCTATCTCGTCGATAATCATGCCTTTATCATAGCGGCCAAGAGGGCCTCGACAGCCGGTCGCTTCCTTGGCGACGTCAACGGCCACGTTATGAAGAGCCTCGTGGAAACCGAAGTCTTCGAGAAGATCATCGTCTTTGATTATCAGGCTGTCTGTTTCAGAGATACCCAAGAGACCAACGACGGCAATATTTTATTAACGGTGAATATAAATAGCTCCTCACGTTAGGCCACTTTCGTTGTAATTATAAAAGATCATAAGATCGTCGAGTTACTTTTAACGCGGACAAATCTTATTATTGTTAGAAGCTATTGGCGTTCCTTGTGTACTTAAGTAATGCCATTTATTTTACTTTGATACTACTAATAATATGAAATATAGTATTTAAGGCAAAAAATTCAATATATACTGACTTGTATCTTAATAATGATGATGATGATGATGATGATGATGATGATGATGATGATATATAATAATTTAACTTTTATAAAGTCGTACTTATCATACGACACTGAGCAAACACTTATAGGTAATTGAAAACAATTTTGAAAAATTTTTTTAATAATAATATTATTATTAAATAAAACGATGATGGACTAGTTACTTCTTATTATTATTATTTTTTCTGCCATCTTCTGTCACACAGTAATGATTAATTTGAGCATTTGCCTGTATATGTACTGCCCACGAGTCCCGATAGTCTTGAATCAATGCGAAACACACAAATGTTATTACATAAATGCTTAAGTTTATATAAAATTAACGTATTTGTTATTTTGCAGCCTTTGAGAACATTAACCGTGTTGGCTTCGTGGTTATATGGTCAAATAGCATTAATTTTAGCGAAAGTAGGTTTCTGGAGCCACGATTATGCCGATGCCGTGTCTTATATGACCGAGGAAGAAATGAAATTAGACAAATTCGCAGAATCGGAGAAACCTCCGATAGAACAGGAACCTTTGAACGACAGCGGCAATAAACCAGCCACCGAGGCAAAAGACGATCAAATTTACGATCAATATATTCGAATAAGGCGAACGAGACCCGAACCCTGTGATCAAAAGGTAAATTTAAGAGACCGTTCGTCCATGATAACTTTTTGTTATTGGCATATTACGAGTTTTATAAGTATTATAAGTATTACAAGTATACTTGTTGTTGAATTTTAATGCCAATCTTACATGACAAACGAATAATAATTATTCAATAATCATGTGCAGGAGTTCGGCAAAATCGGCCAAAGATTTTATTTCACCTTAAAAGTCAATTTCTTTAATTTCACATCCTCATAATATATTGAGTACATTTAAAAGAGCATTTTCGTTCAATGATTCTAGACCGATATTAAAATAAATATCAATGGCAAATATTTAAATGGTAAATGACAATTCATATTCGATATTCCGTATTGGTTCGGGAAAATGTAAAGGACGAGTGTGTTTCGACAAATTGATAAATTTATGCATCGCAACATAAATTAGTCCATCAAATACAGCGACATAACCATATTCCCGATACTTATAGGTGGAATTGTATTTATATCGCAACATAACATCGTCAAACACCATTTACGACAACCCAAACATGAATATAACTGGCTGTGACTACCTCAAGTATATCGTTCAACCGGTGAACTTCACCAATATGATCCTGCTAGTGGTGGATACGACCTGGTGCCAAGACGTCATGCTCGCAATGTCCGTCGAGCCGCAGGAAATCACATACACGCAAAATAGCTCACTGGCCTGCCAGAAGACTTTGAGCAGTCTGCCACGTCGCCGGCCTCAGACCTGCGTACGCACTCATCCGAAGGAGAGCGAGATCAAGGACTTGTGTGGCCGGGCCATGAGCAACTCGCCCCTCGACCTTCGACTGCTAGGCTTCGCGACCCTCCTCGCCACCATGGCTCTCCCAAATCATTGAGAGCCTACCACTGTTCATGCGTAATTGCGATTAGGCGAGGAATCGCGGTAGAACACGAGGACTTGAATTACGATAATGCTGAGGCACAAAGGACGCCGGCGTCCATTGTCGTCAGACTGTGGGAAAGGCGTGCGATCAAACTGATATTTTAATGATATGAGCCAAAGTCAAAGAAAATCCGAAGCAACGAACCTAGACGCGCAGCACGGGATGACAGTTTCGCGGGAAAACAAAATCTATCCCGATTTCTCGTCCACCGCAAGAAATGAAGGAAAAGCCACGTTGCAGGCGCTTATTTTCGTCGTTATCATTATTGCGGAGATTTAAAAGACTATCGAGTGAAAATCAGAATTGTTTAGACTTCGACATTTGTACTTCGATATTTTTTATATTTGCCCTAATTGCCAGTGATTCTATTGAAAAAATGAATTACAATTTATGTCCACCCAGCCTTCTTCAAACGCTAATATATACATACACAATACATATTAATGCGCGTATCCGTATACGTATTGGTGCACGCACTCTCGTGTATACGTATATATATATATATATATTATTTATTGAAAATATTAAGACACACTGTATTAAAGTTAGATTTATTTATTATGAACTATGAAATTTAGAAAGTATATAAATATAGAATTCCTATTTATTATAATTCAAATTCTTTCAACCAATTCAACTAGGCATAATTATAATACAAAGAGTAGAGTAAATTTAATCTTAAAGATTTAATCATTAGAACCTAATTGAAAGTCACTGTTTATTCTTAATTTAATAATAACTGCTGAATATTGAAGTGGGAGGTTCGTTTATCTATTGTATTTCAATTAAATTGCCAATGTTAAGTGATAAAGAAGATTTTACGCTGGGATTTGACGCTCTATAGGCGTTAAACTTCGTTGTTCATTATTAAAATGATGATTCGTACTGCCCGTGACGCATGCGTTCGCTATATGCACTACTGTCTCCGGCCATTGTCATTGCCTATGTGTGGTTCGACTGCATCTACATTCGCTTATCCAATGAGTGAAAGTTTTGAAATAAAATTTTTCACTAAACCCAAGTGGGCCCAACTTCGCCAAAGAGACATATTAAACAGAGAGAAAGAAAGAGAAACGAATGTTGGATAACTGTATTCTAAATGCTAACAAAATATTCACGAATTAATCGCAGTAACAAATAAGTGTTTTTCAAGATCATTGAATAACTTTCTACCAAGGAAACGAATTTATTAATAATAAGTGCAATGAGATGGATTATTCAAGGGAGCAGCAGTACAGTATGTATATAGGGACGTACGTACAGTCGTAAATCACTGCTATCCAATAATATTTAATACTACTGTGACATTCGTACGCTCGCGCTTTGTACATTAATCTAAATACAAGATATGTAATTTACTATTTATAGAGACTAATCCTATATTTGATTTTTGTAAATTATTGTAATATATAAAAAAAAAAAAAACAAACAAAGAAACAAACAAAACCAAAGTATGTAAGATTGTGTGCCTTTGGTCACGCGGTAAAACCAGATATTGTTGTATGTTTTTCAAATAAATGATTGAACTCTTCATTTATTATTTTTATTGAGAATATCTTCATTAAAACATACTTTCCCTATATTATTAACAATGTTAATTATGAATGTACAAAAATTTGAAAAAAAAAATAATACTAATTGAAGTAAGTAAAATTTTCATCGGTACTACTGATGAAAATTAACTTCGATAATGTTCGACACTATTGTGTATGTACATTTTTTCTTTAATTAATTACAACTAGTTTGCTTTTCTAGCACTTTGCGGGTAAGTACTTACAATCGTATACTAAAACTTATACTTTAGCTATTAATTCCACTAGTAACTTATATTTTGATAATTCGTCTAGCCTCTGATGAAGTTCATCTAAAGCCTTGCCACCCAAGAGGAAATTTTTTAAATTATGCAATGACCCATCAGAAAGTCTGTGATCGGTTATTCTATCTTGGGTAAAATTGTATGTTCTAATTTTCTCATTGCGTTCACGTTTTCCCATTTGTTCCTTACGCATAGAAATAATACTTTTTTGTTCCTTATTAAACTGTAAATCATAAAGCTTTGTTCTCAATTTAATTATTGCTAATTTACGATTTTTTATTTGTGATCTGTAAATTTGACATTCAGTCGTTACTCCAGATGGTAGATGTGTGATTCTTACAGCAGAGTCTGTAGTATTTACATGTTGACCACCGGCACCGGTAGCCCTCATCGTATCTATTTTTAAATCGTTCGGATTTATAGTAATTTGAATATCATTTGGTTGTGGCAAAACAACTACCGAAACAACGCTCGTGTGTACCCTACCACTTTTTTCGGTTGTCGGTACGCGCTGCACTCTATGTATTCCAGCTTCGTGTATTAATTTTGTATAACAATCTTTACCAGAAATCATCATACTGACATTTCGTATGCCACCAATTGAGCTCTCATCTAATTGTATTATCTCTGAAGTATATCCCAAATACGACATGTGCTTTAAATACATTTCAAAAAGGTCTTTAACAAATAACATCGACTCTTGCCCACCTACTCCTGCACTAATCTCTAAAATAATATCGCTATATTGATCACCATCTAAATAATCAACGATCAAATCGATCAATTCATTGTCTACTTGTATTAGTCTATTTTCATAAACAAGAGTTTCTTCTTTGCCAAGTTTCTTCAATTCTTCATCTTCTTCCACTGTAAAATGGGTACAAAATTTGATAAAAGATTTAAATACACAGGCACACACATTCAATATCTTTCACATGTCATTATTAAATATACTTACTAAGCGTTACTAAGTTTTCCATATTTTCAACAATTTGTATCCTTTCATCGAGTAAATTCTTTACCGATGCAAAATTTAATACCTCTTGAAAGCATGTACTTTCTTCCGAGATATAAGCATTAGTAAGCTTATTTAAAAATTTATTTACATCCGTTTTTGGTACTTGTAGATTTCTAATTGCCATAGATCTAAGATAAAACATAACAATAAAAAAAAAACTATAAATATTGGCTTTTAAGATTAATCTAATTTTTATTTTATATCTGCTAATAAAATTAAACGATAAGAAACAATATAACAGAAACAATAATGTCATAATGCAAATATATATATATATATATATATGGTGATAATAACAAAATTACTTTAACGATTGAATATTGAATCTTAAATCTTGAATCTTGAGTAACTTCATTAAAATTATTATAACAAATGAGAAAATATATTTCAACGAAGTTTGATCGTCACTAATACGTGCTACTTTATGTTATTTTTCTTTTTTCCTGAATCCAAATAATTCATAATATAATAATTATCATAATAATTAGAGCAATTAAAATATCAAAATAGAATAAAATAATGTACGATTAAATTAAAGCCAAGAGTTATGAACGGTGCACTTAAGGCATCATAAAATAAGGATAAATTTAAGACAATCAAATTTTGCATTCAATAAAATGTATAGATTGATAAATATGCATATAAATATTCTTAAATGTATAAAACAAAAATGTTAATAATGAAATTATCAATCGAATTATCGTCGTACCTGTAAACATTGTGAATAAGCAATGGAGACGTCTGTTTTAGGTTAAGCAAATGATAGTTGCCGAAACCAGTGTTATTCTTATGAAAATGTTGACAAAAATTGTAGAGACGTTGGCTGTTTAGAAAAATTTTCATTGTACCTACATCTATTATATGCAACGCCGTGCATAAATAATTAATCACGCCTACGATGGAAGAAACAATAAAAGAAAAAAAAGAAGTGAAAAGCAACCTATAAAGTTCACTATAAAGCTAATATAAAAAATATAATATTGTCGTCTGCTGAAATTCTCCCTTCATAGTGCTGCCAACATGACCGGAAAATATGCACGAATAGTATTCGTAAATCGTAATGCTTTCTCACGCATTTCCATAGGCAAGCTGGTGAGCTCCGAACTGGCAGCATCAACGAGACGGCGTTTTCCGCAAGTAAGTTTAGCATTTAAACGTTTTTGACGATTAATAGTGGCGTGGTTGGGGGAGGGGGGGGGGATGGACGGAGAAGCCAAAAAAGAAAGAAAAAAAGAAAGAAAGATAAAAGGGGGAAAAAAAAAAAAGAAAAAACGTTAAAGCAACACGTCGCCAAGGCACTCCTCCATTAGCTGGCATTCCAAATTAAACATCGCGAATTTATTGTTTGTTATAAAAAAAGAGGCGCGAATATTCTCCCGCGCCTTTGTTTACTCCTTTTGCATTTTAGTGCAATTCGCTTTTTTCATCGGTAAGCAAGACTGCGCGCAGGCGTCAGTTGCAATTTTCCGTAAACAAGGAAAAACGAAAACTTTGGCCCACGCGGGATTGCAAAAGGCTAATAGTGCTTGGAGACAGGTACAATTCGCGTTTTGCCTTGTTCTTTTTTTTTTCCTTATCTACATCACTAATTTTCGTTTACCATTAAAAGTAACTTAAGCTGCGCTCGAGGTAAGGTGAGTTTGCACGATGTGCCTAAGCAATTTCGCAATTACATTCATTTAAGGACGAATCGAGGAAGTTTTGAATTTTTAATTAACATAGCAAAATGTAAAAAAACAAACAAAACAAAAACAAAACAAAAAATTTCTTTTATGTGATAGCGTCTAGTGATGATAAAGGCGTGTGCTACGAGGAGTTTCTCTTTCTTTTTCTTTATCTTTCTTCCTTTCCTTTTCTTTCCTATTTCCTATCCTATTCTATCCTTTCCTATCCTTTCCTTTCCTTCCTTTCTTTCTTTCTTTCTTTCTTCCTCACGTCCTCTTCTCTCTTTCACCCTTCTCTCTCTCTCTCTCTCTCTCTCTCTTCCTCTTCTCTCTTTCTCCCTTCTCTCTCTCTCTCTCTCTCTCTCTCTCTCTCTCTCTCTCTCTCTCTCTCTCTCTCTCTCTCTCTCTCTCTCTCTCTCTCTCTCTCTCTTTAACAAGGGGACATAGACGTGGTGAGACAAAATTGTATATAAGCGGACTCGCGTTGACCTTTTTAGATGCGCGGTTATCGATTTTGCTTGTGAGTAGTCCGATAGATTATTCTTTATAAAAGTTTTTGTTTTATTAGTTAATTTGCCCTGAATAGTATTTTTGTTAAATGGACAAAGTCCCAGTTAGCGAATAAGCGTTTAACTTTTATTGAATATACGCAATAGTAAGTCAAAGAAATTTAATGCATTTTTATAATTTTTGGCATGAATAGTATTTTATTTTTTAACTCAAAGTTTTCGCTTCTCACGCCAACGGTAATTTACTTTTCTTAATTTTTTCCTATGTAAGATTTATTATTATTATTATTATTGTTATTATTATTGTTATTGTTATTGTTATTATTATTATTATTATTATTATTATTATTATTATTATTATTATTGTTATTGTTATTCTTTTATAACTATAGCGACACATTATCCTAACACTTTTGTCAAATTTATTTATTAATTAATTAATTTAGGCATTACCAATTGTTAATTATTCATGCGATACGTGAATTCTAGGTTGTGTATTTAATGGACGCCTGTTAAGTGTAAATATATAATTGTATTATATTTAAATGAGAATATTATATTAATTGCGGTAATTGTAACCTTATTAAAAATGATAATGATAAAATCTCGTTCCAACATATTACAAAACAAGTACTGATAGCTCGAAAATCTGTTAAAAGTAAGATCAAATAATAAAGAAGTAATATAATTCATTATATAAATATGTTTGAATTACATTTGGTGAGTAGAAGTCGATTTGTAAACTGGAATGTAAAAGAAACGAAAAACGAGATCATAAAATTTCGTATGCAATTCCGTATTCAAAGTGTAACGTCACATACACAATGTTACAAAGTACACGTCCTCATAATCTAACTACTACAACACGACGATGATTCACAATCTTATAAGTTCTTTCTCACTTATAAAAATTATAAGTACAAAAAAAAGAGCCTCGTAGCTAAGATTGCATTATAAAGGGATTGGTTTACTTTTCCATGAATTGATTACGGTTCGCGCGCGCGCGCGCTTTATGTATGTTTGCGTGCGTGCGTGAGCGCGCGTGTTCGTGTGCCGCGGCGTGGCGTTTTGATGGGAGGAGGGGTTGACGAGGGGCAAAGCAAGCTGCAAAATATACATTTTCGAGTTTTAGAAATCGAAAGCACTCTATAACGAATGAAGCATACACATAGGCATTATAAAGTCGAAAAGAGATAGATATAGAGATAGAGCGAGAGAGAGAGAGAGAGAGTGAGTGAGTGAGTGAGTGAGCGAGCGAGTGAGAATGAGTGGGATCGCCGTTGAGGGGAAGAGAGAGTGAGAGAGTGAGAGGAAGCGAACGAATGAAAGTCGAGAGGCAGATCCGAGAGAGAAAGGTAGAGAGCAGCCACGCGTTTATATGTAGGTAATGTTGGTAAGCGGGCACGAGGAATGGATGCAAGAGCGAGAGGGAATAGAGCACACGTAGAGCTATCAAACACAAACGCACACTGTGCGCCCGGACTGCACGAGAGCGAGCGAGATCTACAACATTGGCTTTTCAGAGCTCCAACAGCTACGAGCTTCTGCCGTCGGTCTCACTGCTGCTACACTGTTATAAATCGTTGTCGCGCCACGGCTTGATTTCATAATAATTTTCTCACTACCTCCTCCTCAGCTCTTTCGATGTCCATAAAATTCTACCACACGCGTCCAAGTACCTCGTAATGGGCGTATACCTGATCACCCCATTCGGCATATAATATAATATTAAAACAGGGGGTAAATAAATACATGTTTGAATTACAGAATAAGCAAGCACTAAGTGTCGAGATAAGAAACTTTAATGATGTACACGTGTTAGTTGCATCGTCAGGCGCGCGTATTAATTACACCGATCGTCGTTATATTGCATTCCAATATAAATTGCAGAGCGTATTTTGTATGGCCTATCTTTGCTTCGCTGTTTCAGCTTCTCTTCGTCGGCGCTCCGTATTATAATAGAATAGGCGATTAAGGAAGCCTGGATTGCATTGCATATAAAATGGGCGAGGAGAATCGAGTGCAGGATAAGTCGACAAGCGACGCAGGTGAGATTTTCAATTAGTTATTGCTCTCGAGTTTCTATTTAGATTTTACGAACGCGTAATTTTGTGCTCCGACTGCGTTTTTCGCGCGGCTTTTCTCATTCGTCGACGTCGTTGCACATTATATAACGCATTTATCAGCGTTACGAGATTTTCTATTTCACACGGCATTTCCCTTATTAATCGTGCTCGACTCGAGTGCCTTTATGGTTTTTGTTTTTTTTTTTTTTTTTTTTTAAGCGTGGAACGTTTGAAATGTAAAGTATTTGGCCGAATGGCGAAATGCACGAGGATGGGGAAGTGGCAACGATTTGCTGACCAACTCGTGGATTCCGCTTGGCTTTGTAGAGAGAAGGTGATGCCTCTTAGAAGGTGATGATCTCGATGCCCAAAATGCGTGGCCCTTGCGATTTGAGATCGAGCACGTAAATTAATTCCAAACGCTTTTACGATTACAGCTAATTTACGCTAAGAGTGCATGAAGAAGCAATCATGATCATTAATATTGTTTATGAAAATTTCGTTATACACAAGCATCTGTGTGTATGGGATTTATTGGTTCCTTTTTATTTATTTATTTATTTATTTATTTTTTTTTTTTTTTTTTTTTTTTTTTTTTTTTTTTTTTTTTAAGGCACCTCTTCTTCTCTCATGCACAAATTCATCAAATCGAGGATTATTTTACAATTAAAAGCAGATAAAAACATATTCTTTACTTTACAAATAGCCATATCTGTGTGCAAATGATGCCCGGGATAAATATTTAATTGATAGCAGCTACTTATATGCTCTAGTTTAACTAGCAATATTGTATTGAGCAGTCTTTATTGATTTGCTGAACAGTTAGGACAAACTTATATCTCACTTGCATAACATTTATCATCGTTTGCTTGATTATTAATTTCAATGCTGACCATTGCTGAACGCATAGGAATTCATTTTTATGCTTATTGTTACACTAGATTATTGTACGTGTAACATAATAAAAATTTTTACTTAGATATTAAGTATTTATTGTTTTTAGATGGCTTCTTCTGGCAAGATTATCTTGATGCAACAGAAAGCGTGGAAGTTCCACAGATAATGTTTCCACACGTGGAGGAAACATTACAAAATGGAATTGAAATCGGCATGTCTTTGGAGGTTCCAATTAAAAAAAATAACACCAAAGATGACGACGAATCTGTGTATTGGGTAGCCTCGATTGTCATGGCTTGTGGTCCTTTATTAAGACTACGTTACTTTGGCGGTGATGATAGATCTTTAGAATTTTGGTTCAATTTGACCAAAGAGGCTGCCCACGAATTAGGCTGGTCTGTAAAAAATGACAAAAGACTTGAACCACCTGATATTGTACTTCAAAGATCTCCAGATTGTTCTGAAAAATTACAAGAATTCTTAACCACGGCAAAGTCAATTCCTTTTGAAATGCTGGCAGGGGTAATGGCAATTTAAAGAGTTTGTCTTTGTTTTTTTTTTTTTTTTTTCTTATTGAAAATTATAATTTTTATTTGCCCATACATTTTAATTTATAATTATTTCTTGCTTTTTATCATCAGGATGGACTTAGTATAGTAGATAGAATTAAGCAAGGCATGAAAGTTGAAGTCAGCGATGTCCGGCATCCATATAAATTATGGGTTGCTACGGTAAGTTTTCAAGGCCAATGGGAAATAAGGGTCTGAACGGGATTGTATAATGTTGAAACAAAGGTTATATAATATTGCTACATACATTTATAATAATAATATTAATGAGAATTAATTTTACAGATTAAGGAAAATGTTGGAGGACGCCTTCTGTTGCAATACGATACTCCAGATTCATCGTCGAAAGATTTCTGGATGTTTTGTACTTCAGAGCATTTGCATCAGTATGGATTTGCATCAAAAGCAGATTCAAACTGGTTTTTAGAACCGCCTAGTTCAATAGTCGATACACATTCTTATGAAGAATGGAAAGAACTTACGGAAAATGGTCCTAAGGACCTTAAAGTACCTGAAAACTTATTTAATAATTGTGTTGATCATCCTCAGCATAATTTTAAATTAGGAATGAAGTTAGAAGCAGTTTCACCCTCCGATAGAACAAAACTTTGCCCAGCAACAGTTGTTAAAGTATTTGATAATATTTATTTTTTAGTTCATATTGATGTATATAACAGAGATTCCATAGAAAATTTTGATGAGACATACATATACAATACTACTGAAAAGAATACGTGGCTCTGCACTGCGGAACACCCCTATATTTTTCCAATTAATTGGTCTAAGAAAAAAAATATCAGGTAAGCAAACGGTTTGATTTTGTTATTTTTTTCTCGTTGCTGTATTTGCTTTGTTATTATTAGCGTTATTTTATTGTAGTTTTACACCGCCGCAAAACTGGACTTTGAAGTCAGAGGAATTTGATTGGGATGATTATTTGAAAGCAACGAATGCAATTGCTGCCGATGAAAGCTTATTCACCGTACGAGAAAGTGCAGCCGATGCAGGATTTGAATGTGGCATGAGGTTAGAAGCAGTTGATCCTGAAAATGAAAATGCAATTTGCGCAGCGCATATATCAAAGATTATTGATAATTTATTATGGTTAAAACTAGATAGTTGTAATGATAATCGAATCACACACATTGTACACATGCATTCCTTACAAATTTTTCCAGTTGGATGGTGTGAGTCAAATCACTATCCATTAAAGCCCCCGAAAGATTATATCGAAGTTTGTAAAAAGGTGCAAACCAATGCAACAGCAACAAAGAAAAATAATGTTATAGATGTTCCATTATCAGAACCTCGTTCTTCCTTATGGTGTCCAAAGATCTATTTTAATTATCGATGCTTTACCGGACCAATGATATCTAAAGGTAAATTAGCAACTCTTCCAAAAGCAGTTGGTCCCGGACCAGTAGTTCTTGTTATGAGAGAAGTTTTATCGATGATTGTATCCGTTGGATACAGGAGTGCCAGAATATTAAAAGTATTACAGTGTGATACCAAACCCGAGCCTGGTTATAACTTAGAAGTATTAAAAGCAAAACACAAAAACAATACGTATAGAGCGAGTGTTGCTGTTATAACGTCGGGTGATATGGTAACTGAATTTTGCAGAAATATATGCAAAAAATTAATGGTGTGTCCTAATCTTTTTGGGCCATTACATGTACCAGAGAACGAATGCCCGGACAAATGTCATAAGACATCGAAGAATAAATTTATAAGTAAATACATAATAATAAAAATTATTAATTAATTAAGCACTAGTATTTTTATAATTCAACTCTAATGGTTTTTTTTTTCTTTTAATTTTTATGTCTAGCAACGACAGTAGGAACTGGGAAGAGAGGTAAGCCAAAAGGTTACACAAGTATTATGGTTCAAAAACCACGACCGTGGGGTAAGCGTAAGAGAAGGAGAGGCAGATGGGCAAACAGGGACAAAGAGCGAACCGAAGAATTTGAGCAAGAAGATGAAATGCCATTTCTCTCCATGGATCTGACAAAACATATTTCCGGCGGACTAGAAGATATGTATGAAGATCAACAGCCACTTTCTGAACTGGACATCATGATTCAAAAAGGCTTTAAGAAAGCAGAAAAATTTGACGATACTAAACAAGAATTACCATCGAGCAATGTCTCAGAGGATTCAACGAGTAGTTTTAATGACAGAAAAAGTAAAGATAGCAATATAGATAGTCCTGGCAGTTCTATGGGTAGTAAATTACAATCGAAATCCAGTCAAAACACCACTACCACAAGATCTGGTAAAAGAGAAAGAGATTGGGACACGAGCGTAGAGTCTGATGGATCGGATGCCGATGCGGAATATATAAGAATGCAAAAAAAGCAGCGAAGGCCTAAAACTAGAAAATTAGAATCAAATCCTTTATTTTGGACTGTCGACGATGTCTTTCGATATCTTCGAAAAACAACAGACTGTAAAGAATTAGCATATAGAGTCAAGCAAGAAGTAAGTTAGTTATTCATTAGTATAATATGGAGATGGAGAATTATTGTGCGTAAATTTTGAATTAAAATTTTCATTCGTAATTGTAGGAAATTGATGGCTTAGCATTCCTCCTCTTAAATTTGCCTTCTCTCACTGAACATATGAAACTACGAACGAGTGCAGCCATGAAATTATGTCGACACGTGGAGCAAGTAAAAGTAACGTTCTTCCTTAAGCACATCAACGAACTTGAACCAGAGCAGTATCGAGTGATGTAATTATTTGAATAAATTGCACATACAGAAATCAATTAACGCTGGAAATTTGAAAATTTGTACCGTAATGTATCATATATGTAATAATGTCAACGATTTGTAGAGTCTAAGATAAGTGCGCCTGTATAAATTATTAATTTCATGCATTTGTGAATAGTTACATAATGTATAATTGTGATTTATAGTAAGATAATAATTCATCATCGTATTAATTATTATCATTGTCAATCGTGTAAGTTTTTCATAATACTTCGTCGAACTTTAATGTTATAATTTTAGGTAGTTCTTAAGCTTAATTTGTCCTTTGTAATAAAATTGTATAAATTAATTGATAAAAAAAAGGAATATTTAATTCTTAGCTAATTACTCTGTTTTAAAATTGCTATTTAAACATACATAAAGTTACAGCTGTTAATTGTAACGGAAAGTAATGCACTAACGTCTCGATATTTCAAGGCAAAATATCAATAAGTTTGTAAATCTCGATCGTATCATTATAATTACATTGACAATGAAGTACTGTTTTAAAATTAATCATTTCAACTACCATTAGAGAGATACCGCATTAATATTTACATAAATTTCATGTAAATATATCATTAATGTTCATTATTATTTTTTCAAAAATAAAAATATTAATTATATACTCTATTGAATTGCGTATCGGATGTTCTTTAATATTTGTATAGATAACCCAGCCACCATTAACTCTTAAATTAACTTGGAATACCAAAATATAAATAATAGATATATAATCGATTTTACAAGTACCTATTTTAAATAATCCCAAAGTAGCGAATGAATTTAAAAGCAATGGCCCCACTCACACTATTAAAAATACATTTTACAAAGCGAAACTTCCTTCTTCATACTCTAAATTAACTAAGCACTTGCAATTTATTTTACTTTACCTCGTTATTTTTAATTAAAACTTAACTCTTGCAAAGCATACTACAATTGAATAAATAAGAAAATCTTAACCATTTAATTGCTCAGGATATTGCATTTATAACTAATAATGAAGCAATAGTAATTGTAATCAGTTAGGATTGCAGTGGTTGACAAATATTCAAGAGATGTGCAGTTACAAATTTACAACAGATAAAAAATTAGCTATAAATGATTGATTATGATTAAATGGACAAGTTCAATGTTATAAGTATACTGAAAATTATGGGCTCGAATTGAAGTAATAAATAGGAATAAAGCAATACTCGGAGTAGTATGTGCATTAAAAAATCCCGCCTGCAAAAGCTCGTAAATCATTAAAAGTTTTAATGTCGAAGAAGAATTCATACGGTAAAGAAGCCAATAGTTAGAATGAATTTCGCGAAATTTCGTATTAAAAGTTCTTCGTCAACGAATTCGAAAAATATGTACTATATATATATATATATATAAATATAAAGAGAGGGAGAGAGAGAGAGAGAGAGAGAGAGAGAGAGAGAGAGTATTCGTATGTTGAGTTCATTAGACTTGATCTACATGCTCATGCCATGGAATTTGAAATATATTAAGCCGGACCGAGGAGAGGATTTTCTGAATGTTAGCCAAATAACCGAATGAAGATGCAACGCATACGAGGGCGAGGCTTAGTAACTTTTTCTCTCATGAGAAGTTCGTTGGCTTGCGGAAGTTTCACGCATGAAGAAGAGCTCGGTAAAATAAATCAGGGCGTCTGCGACTTTTCGATGCACTCTGACGTCAGGTCAACGACGCGTCTTCCTCACTTCATATCACGAATGTCGGCTATGAAGCACATCCTTACACGAGGACCGCTTTCCTGGTACTATTCTTCAGATATTTTCATTAAGTGCTGGAGTTTGCACGAATCTTGATCCTGTGTTATAATTTGCTTAAATAACAGAGATAGAGAGAAAGAATAAAAAAATATTTAAAAAATATTTTTACCCTAATGTAATGCAGTAAGCTACTAGTATGTATTTTTTTAGAATTAAGGTTAATAAACTTATAGATTTTTGTAAATTTATAATATAAAGCATCATTTTTCATCGATTTATTCTTATAATATATAATAGTGATATGAAAAATCATTTGGCTTAATCGGTAATCAGTTCTAAGAAAATTAAATTTTACAAACACTATATTTTGTTCAAAACTTGATTAAAATGTCATTATTTTAGAAAAGATATTTAAATGAACCGAGTATACGGAGAAATTTTTCCACTCAAGACACTCGTTGCAATAAATCATTAATTCCACAAATATTTTAAGAATATCGCAATTTTGAACATAATATTTTATACGATTGTTTTTTAAATCAACACTTGCAAACTGCTTTCAATTTTATGTATTATTAAATTGAATTTGCAAAAAATTACATCAATATATTTAGTGGGCCATCGTGTTTTTATGCTCTTTAATTCAAATAAACAAACGTGAAAAATAAAAAGAATACTCATACAAAATCAAAAACTCACGATGCATTTGATATCATGGAAACATATTTATTTTAATGCAATTTTACAAGGTATTATAGATAGATGAATTTTAACAATCAATTAGTAACAATTAGTAATGAGTAGCAATAATCTTTTTCTATCTACATCTAATTATTTTCTACATCTAATTGTTTCTAATCCATTTAATTTTAAATAATAATACTGCAGTAATAAGCGCTAAGATTCACATTAAAATTACAAATGTAATATTTGACATTATTTATTAAGTTTATAACAATGACAACAGCAATAACAACAACAATAACAACAACAATAACAACAACAGCAACAACAACAAAAATATCAACAACAATATCAATAATAATAAAAGGTTCGAATATCTAATATAAGAATTTTTTTCCGATTCGCATGAACTAAAATGCATATATTCGCTAAGAATATGCTGCATAGTCGGCTACATACTCTAGTCACGCATCTGATTACGGGATAACAGTAATTAAAGCAACGGTAAGGCGATAGAAGAGATCTCTGTACATTGAATACTTTTCATATGTGACCATTGGATTATGATTATTTTTAGTTACATTATTTTACATAGCGCAAGTCAAGCGGTACTCTAACCGCCATTTATTTTATATAATTAATGCGCTTGATAAATAATTCGAACGTTTGCTTTAACAGGAGGTTTCGTTACAGTTGTAGTACACAATCTCGCCAATGGTAAATGATTTATTTTCCAACGTACAACGATAATTATAAAAGTCCTATTATCGAAATTTAAATTCTATTGGCTAAGTTCTATTGGAATAAAGATAGTAAAATGCTGTAACCAATGCTCCTTCGATTATGAACTTTTATTGCAGAGCTTTTTTACTGATCTTTGACATTACATAATTCGGTTCAATTTAATTTTACACATTTATGAAGTGCGTACTTGAAATTTTCTGAAAATTAATTGGCTCAATGGTTTGTTTAATATTAATACGAAGAAAACTTATTACATTTATACTTGTAATGCCATTGCAATATATACTTGCGATTTATTGTAATTTTATATTACGAGTTAATGTTTATAGACTTATGCATGCGAGATTAAACGAGCTTTTTATTATTTATAATAACAACGAACGAAGTCTTTCTTGCTTATTCTAACGTTATTAAAGCCTGAACATTTTAATAGTTAATATACGAATGGTGTCAATATGCATGGATGTGTATAAACAATGAATCTCGGGCACAATATGATACAAAATTAACTAAACAAATATCCTTGCCGATTGGAATAAATTGACAATGATCATCAACATTGATTCTAATCTATATTTATCGTTTTTTTTTTTTTTTTTTTTTTTTTTTTTTTTACATAAATATAACCATTAATATAATTCATATTTAAGATTCATTAAATACGGGCACATAGATATTGATGTTTAATATAAATAACTACGTAATACTCGTATTTAGCCGTAATGTTAGATAGATTTATTATTAAGGTAAATTCTATAAATAATCTTAATCTACTCTTTCTATTAATAATCTTAATCCACTCATTCTACTAATAATGAATTTATATTAAAATTTTACTCGGAAACGAAGGACGAACCGATTACCTTGAGACGACACCACAATGTATGAGAATCGTTTATTTTAAACTTTTTAAATTGCACTTTGCTAAATGTAACGGCGATCGACAACACTGAAATTCGATCCGCTCTTGTTTAAGAGTTTATTGCTTTACACATATATACATGCATACATACATGCATGCATATTTGACGCCGAATGCCAAAGCAGCACGCACACACACACACACACACACACACACACATATATATATTTATTTATTTATTTATTTATTCTAGCAACCGAAACATCTAAATATCTCTAATCTATATAATTTACCAGCCTTTACACGTACGGATTGTTTATTCTTGTTTCTTTGACCCCGATCCCAGTGGCTTTAATATTATGCAACACGTTAAATGAAATTTCGATCCATTCCGTTACACTGCTGCGCTCGCATTGTTTACGCCGCCGAAAAGTATTTAAACGGCTAACAAACCCAAAGCAAAAGAAATGTTTTATTAGTCGCCAAAATAAAAACAGACCCCATCTATACCTCACGATTTTTGCTCCCAAAACAATCATTTATCCAGCAAAAAAATACCAATGTCCTCCCATAATGTCACGCAATTGATGTGCACCAAAGCACCAGCCCTCCCACGCCAAATTAATAAAGTCGCCAAAGGCTCTGCCTCCACCTCGCGAGCAACTCCCACTCGCCGTCGTGGCGCACATCGATCAAGTCCGCGTAGCGGCGCTTTAGCCGCCGAATGCCAAAGTAACTATCAAAGTAGCGGCTCGGCGAGGCGGCGACAGATGTTCGTAAATTCGCGCCGAGAGCTCAAGGAGACCCGCGTGCCCGCGATGCGCACGCACCCCGTGAACGAAGCTAGGAACGACAGGATCACGCAAACCACCTGACGCTACTCCCGGCTGGAGTGGAGTGGTGAAGCGGAGAGGAGAGATCGCCGTCGTCGTCGCTGCCGCTGCCGCTGCCGCCGCTGCCGCCTCTGCCATCACTACCACCACCACCACCACCACCACCACCACCACCATCACTGCCACTTCCATCTCGCGACACCTCGCGCCACCTCGCGCCGCTACCGCACCCTGATCGCCACCGGTGCGACGAAGATGGGCGATCATCGGTCGACGCGCAGTGGACGTCGTTGCCGTTGCCGCCAGT